TAAGAATGTGTTTACCTTGTGGTAAATAAATATCAATAACATATTACTACTTCTAGCAATACAATGATTTGTTTTCACTTTTTTTTCTTACTTTCATTGTTTCACTAGGACACACTACTCCTGGAAGCTTTTACCCAATGGCCGTAGGAACTTCTTTAAATAATTCCTCTTTTTCTGACCAAAGGTCACTCACTTCAGAGTCAGGTAAGATCTACATAAGAGCCAAACTTATCTTACAAGTGTTCAGCAATCAGTTGAAAAAAAAAATAACAACAAAGAAATTCATCTAACAAAAAATTGAGTATTAGTGCAGTTCTACAGCTTGAAGTGTACAAGTATGATCCTAATTCACTATTGCTGAACATGTACAAATAATGTGGTGATAAATCAAGGCATAAAAATCAGATTAATAGTTAACTTGCTCTATTTGGATTGCTCATCTGGTGAGTGTACTTAAAATGAAAAGGAATAATTTTAAAACTTGCCACAAATTTGTACATTTTATGGTTTGTATGAAGAACTATCAAGTTAACACAGAGAATGGACTTCCATCAGTGCTCAGTGATACCTTTCTTTACAAACAATAAATGTATAAGTAAATTCCATTAAAACAATTAACTACAGATCTTCAGTTAGTTCCTTCTACCTGATGCAAGTTCTTACGTGGGAAATACTAAGTAAGCTCTTTTTTTTTCAGTAATAAAATTCAATGTTTACATGTCTTCTCAAGCATATTTTACATCTGAACCTCCTTAATGATTCCACATATTATATTATACGCACGTGTATGTTAAATGTTCAAGCAAACGTTGAAACCATTGATATCTGACTAGTGCTTGGAGAATTTTATCACCAAAAAGTGTGAAATTTTGTAAACATTAATTTTTTTTCTACATAAATAAAGAATGTATATATTGGCAACTCTTTGAGCTCTAATTTAAACAAAATAAAAAGGAATTGATAACATTTATTTAATTGTTTTTTTTTTAAATTCTATCAGCAATGAAATATGAATTACATTTACTGTAAGACAAAGAACACTACTAACCACACAATTTAACTAACAGGGGAACCAAAACAAGCATTATTTTTAAAATGTCAACTTTACACAGAACGTTTTCTTTAATTCTTGTGTTATCAATTTCCCTATATAATCTAGTTAACTGTTTACAAATATAGATTTGGGTCTTTTGATTTGATTTTTTTATATATATATATACCACTTGTAGTCTTTTTGTTTCCTTCCAGTGCATTTTTTTGTTATGTGTCATTAATTCTATGTATCAATCTTTTTTGCAATGACAAATTAAATTTGTGTCCTACATATCTTTCCACAGGTTTAAACAGTTCCTCAGATTTTTCTGATGATGAAACCTTTATCTGCAACCTTTCACACAGTGAAGTAAATGAAAAAATACCTGAAATAACACCCAATGGTATACCCCTTGGAGATATCAGATGGAATAGAGGAGACTCGCAACTAATCAACCAGGCAACATTTGGTGAGAAATTACATACAGTAAATCCACTTAGTTGAAGTTATCTTAGTTTTATTTCATATTTCTCCCCAAGCTATCTCACCTTGGGCTTTAGATGGATCGCTAAGTGAGTTACTTAACCCTCTGAATGTAGGTAGATCAAAGTGCACATGTCATGACCTTTTCACAGAGCTACATTCACAATTTTAATTAAATTTCTTTATTGTCAATGTATATCAATAAACCAGGCATCAAAATATGGTTTATAATGCAAGTTCTTATATCAGTTAAGTTTTGATTTTTTTAATTTCAAAAGGAAATATTTCAATCAATTCCCATTCTTCACGTGACATTTCTTTGCTCCTAATTTGCCTATTTTAGATATTCTTTCTACCCCTATCTGAGATTCTCATTTTAACACAAATAACACACTTATAGTATACATAAACTAAACTTACAGCCACCAATCTTTTTGTTTTACCAAGATATAAATCAAAATCAAACCCATATGCGACACCCTCCAATAACAGACTCGTTCAAAAAATGTCAATAGCTCTCTCTGATGTTTTCTCTTTGATTACATATAACCAAAAGAAAGAGAAAATTTTAATTTACTGAATTCCTTATAATACTAACTCGATCTGATGACAATTTATGAATTATCTGATGATAGTTTCAATTTTTATTATCAGTCACCTTGACCAGCCAATGGAAGCATTTTAAACCACTTATAGGTCTATTAGAAAGCCAGTTAAATTATGAAAGTTATAGGACATTGTAATTGCTTGTGCAAGTTATTATTTTGTGTACTATATTGCAGATCTTAAATAAATTATTTACCTTACCAAAAAGTAAAATTAACTTCTATCAAGATTTCAACTCCAAAGAGCACAAGACTTGCATGTAAGTACTAAATTTCGTTTTTTTTATGAAAATTTTTTTAGTTGTTATAAAAGTAACTAAAATGGAAAAATCAGAAACTTATTAGAATAGACCAGAAAAATGATCTTGCCATTGCAGCATTTAGTAATTTGACTGAGCATGCTAGCAGCTCAATACTTTGTTTACACAAAGTTGCCATACTCAAATAACTGGGAGATT